AAACGAGGCAATTGCCTCGTGAAAGAAAGAACAGTCCTTTTGGACTGTGTGTGAGCACGAAGGCTCCCACTTCAGTTTTGAGAAAAACGACTGTGGCCACGAGATCTCAGATCTCGTGGCCCACAGCGCGCGCGTGGAGATGGGACTGAGGGAGTAGAGGAGAGGGAGTGAGAGAGAGAAACGGGGTAGTTGGGAGGAGGAGGTCCTACTCCTCCCAACCTGCCAACTGGCTTCCCCGTTTTCAGGGGAAGACAGCAGAGGAAAGGAAGGGGGCTGTTGCATACAACAACATGCACCTGGCCAAGGTAAAAGCCAGGTGCAGTAGAAATTAGAAAATTAGTTTTTTTCTTTTCTTTTTCTTTACTTAGTGAGAGGACACTTGTCCTCACGTGGTGCAAAACTGTCAGGCTCCCGTTTTTGCTGGGAGCCTGGAAATTTAAAGGCCACTAAGGAAAAGGCTAGATGCAACCTTTTCCCCAATGTACCTGCCCTAGAAAAAGGGTCCAGATGCATCAAATTGAAAAGGGTTGTATCTTTTCAACCCTTTATTAGAAAAAGAAAAGAAAAACGGATTTGGAAATGGCAGGAGCCCAGCTATCTCGCCAGATTTCGAGATAGCTGGGAAAAAGAAAAAGAAAAATAAAATAGGGCAGTTAAAGAAACTGCCCCACACTAAAGTTGTGGTTGTGGTGCGGCCACAGTCAGCCCTGGATCTTGGCAGATCAAGGGCTCATGGTGAGCCCGCGATTTTGCTTGGGGGCTGGAGTGACGTCCAACCCTCCTCAGCCAATATAAAAAAGGCAGCTGCCTCCCAGCTGCCACACAATTGCACTCGTGCTGCCAGTGTGTGACGAGCACACTTGAGTGCTGGCTGCTGGAGCTGCTGCCCGAGGCAACGTGAGGAGAGGCTGGAGGACTGGAGAGGAGCGCAAGGAGGAGGACTGGGCAGCCATAGCCAAGGCAGGGAGCACTTTGCTCCCCTCACCTTTGGTTGGTGCCGGTCCTAAGGGACAGACCCAGTGGTACTGCGGGACTGCGGCAGTGCGGCGCTGTGGGATTTGGGCCTGGGGCCCAAAATTTTACTAATTTTGGCTTCCAATGTTCCCACTGTAGTGTAGTGGGGAAGCGCTGCCAAAATTTTACAGTGGCGGCCCCGGGTTTTACTGCAGTAGTACGGAAGTGCTGCCGAAATTCTGCTGCGGCGGCACGTGCTTTTACTGCGATATTACGTAAGTGCTGCCGAAATTCTGCTACGGCGGCACGTGCTTTTACTGCGGTGGTACCGAAGTGCTGACGAAATTCTGCTGTGGCGGCACGGGTTTTTTCAGCGGTGGTGCGAAAGCGCTGCCGAATTTTCGCGGCGACGGTTCTGCTTTTTTCAGAGGTGGTGCGGAAGCACTGCCGGGTTTTCGGGGCGGCGGTTCTGGTTTTTCAGCGGTGGTGCGAAAGCGCTGCCGGGTTTTTACGGCGGCAACTCCGGTTCTTACGGCGGTAGTGAGAGAGCGCTGTTGGAATTTTTTTTGCGGCGTCAGTATCATATTCTTGCAAGTGACGATGCTACTTTACGACAGTAACGACAGTATCAGTGCACTAGGTGGAGGAGGGACGCTGACGCATAGGGGGTGCGTCAAAGCGGTGTTTCCATTTGGAAGTGACGTGAGGGTGACACCGCGGAGACACCATACTTTGGACGCAAGTGGCGGTAACTAGAAAACGCCGCCTGGATTAGTGGAAAGTGATTGAGTGCTGAGAGGTTGCTCTGGGAGGCGTCGTCACAAGGGAGTGATGTCGATCACATTGGTGACGACTGCGTACGACAATCTTCTCGTCAGGAGAGCGTAAAATTTATACGGTCTTCTTGAGTGTACCGTTAAAACTTCACTCAAGGTCAGTTAAATTGACTCAGTTCCCTTCACACCTTAGTGAACCCACACTTGCTTTGACCTGTTTCACTGAATGTTCATTGAAAAAGGGAAGAGGATGTGTGTTCTTGCGTGTTTGACTGGGGGTTGGACAATGGTAAAGGAATGCATGGTGGTCCTTGTGTCGTTGGGTTTTGACTGTAGGTACGACAAATTGACTGAAATGGATGAGGGTAATGACAGTGAAAAAATGGTTGACTTTTCATCTTTGTGCTTATGTTCTATGTATAAATAAAAGAAAAAGAAGATGACGAGAAACGAAGCGAGCATAAGGAAGAGAAATTCAACTTGGTTTAGACTTATTCCTGAGGTTACCCATTCTTTCTCGAATAACCCTCTTTTATCTATGCCTGTAAGTCTGAATGATTCTATCTTTCTACGATTCTTTTTTTTTTGTCTAAGTTTATTTTGACGCTAGGCGGCAAGACTCTACTTGTCTGCCGTGTAGATGTTTTTCCATTTTTCTAGGAGGCATCTGGGGCGGGGGTTCGTTACCTTAGGGTCCGGCCCTGTTATCAACTCCGAGTGGACCGCTTTGCGGGGGGTACTATGCCGATTCGGTGGAGACGGCCCGACTTATGAGATCCGAGTTTTATACTCGGGCGAGGAGAAGGAGTATCCTAGACCACCTCTTGGTGTAATGGAAAATGCAACCACACGGAAGAAAATTTATTTCTTGACGCCTTGCAAAAAAGGAAAACTGCCTTAGCAATACTGTTTAAGTGGTCATCCTAGATACCACTAACATATGGAGAATTGGCGCCACAAGCAGCCCGACTCATGTTCCACTAGCTGAATGAAGTACATTTAGATACTCCTGACGAGGTTGGTCGTGCCATAAGAAGCACGGGCCAGAAGGAAGACAAATGTTTTAAGTAATACTTAGTTTTAACTTGATCACATTCGGCTTCCTTTTTCTTTCAGATGGTTGCGGGATCCATGGACTTGTTCCTTTTCTACGACCGCAATTCGGCGGCCGAAAGGGTTGAAATCCAAAGGCGTAATGGAGAAAGAGTAGAAAGGATAGGCCGACTTGTTTATAACCCGTCAGAGCTGTACTCAGAGGAGGACGTTCCGCGGTTTTGGGATGGCAGTGCGCAGAGACCCCCCCAGACGGCTTATTTTCAGGAGACCGGTCGGCTTGGATGTTATTCACTACGAGTTCGCACCGCCATTGCCCGAACGTCACTTCGTTAATATGAACTTGGTGATATTGCAGCCATACGAACTCAATCCACGGGTGGACGAGATCCCGGAAATAAGGTTGTTGGGCGGCGACGGCAAGACGCCATTGTCGAGGCCGGGCAAATACATGCCAGACAAATCTCCGGGTCTGCAAGCAATTCCGAAAATGGGCTTGAAAGGGGCGGCTGGTGAAACGAAGATGTGGTGACTGGTCCGGGTCCCGCCGCCTCCGACCAAAAAGAAAACGCAAGCAGACGATAAGTTTTTCGTGGTCGTGAAGGAGCCAGACATGTTCTGTTGGCAGTCTCTCGCCGACATGACCGATGTCGAGAAACTGTCGATCCTCGACGACATTCTCGCACTACGGGGAATGTTCGTGCAATCCGCGGGCGGCCATCTGAAGCTTCAGCATAAACCTGTAATTAAAGACATGGTCACGCTGAGGAAAGTGGACCGTGTGATGCTCCGTATGTTCTACTACATCTTGTTCCTTGAGAGGGAGGAGGACGAACGTGTTTGGCGCCATGGGAGCCCATTTTTTCGGACCGAGGGGAAGCTTCTGGAGGAGTTCGGGCCGCAGGGCCTCATGAAACAGGTATGGGTCGAAATGTGAAAACATTTCCAGGGCGCGGTGGAGTACGTGAACACTTGCAAACGTAATCGTCCGCACGAGAAGGAGTCCCTCGACGACGCGAAGAAATTGTACGAGGACGACAGGTTCCCTAAATCTTTCGAAAAGTCTGTCTGCTCCATCTTGCGATGGACAGAAGAAGAAGTTTAAGACACGATCAGGGTCATCAGGGATGTGAGGCACATCAAATGGCCCGACCTCAACCGGGTGACCAGCCTTATTCCTTTCGCTTTTCCGCCTTCCCAAGCTCACAGTCATGTCACTGCGATCCGTGAGGTTGTGCGACATTACGTGTGCAACCTGTACGTCCTTGTTTTGTGTGATCCCACACTCCTCACAGACTGGCGAGAAGACGATTTCGCCAACTTGCAAGGCCCTCTACAAACACTTTCGCCAATGCACTTGGCACTTGTGATCTTTTTCCCCTCTCGTTGGGAGCTCAGTTTCTTGAAAGGCATGGCCAGGCTTAGCGTCCATTACGTCAGGACAGGGAAGTGGGTACGTAATGCACAAAAGCAGGCCACTGTCAGGGAAGGCAATATGATGGTTGATGAGTGTGACCGCCTATGCGTGATTTTTAATGGCGAGAAGCTGGAAGACAACACATTCGCAGTCTACCCGGCCAGTAGCCCGACAAAGGCTTCCCGTGCTCATGGTCCAAGTCCGGCCAAACACACGGTGGCGGGCCCATCAGGACAGGTTGTGGCGTGTTTCGACGTGGCGGAAGAGGAAAGGTTCTCTCGTAGCATGTGGGACGACGGCGGCGTGACAAGTTCTCAAGGACCTGCTTACGGGGAGATGGAGCGGAACCCGTCCCGTCTACTTGGTTTACTCAAACTTTTGCAAAGCTGGTCAAACTGTTTTTTTCCTTGGGAAGGCGCATGCGTCTGTCGTGTGGGCACCGGTCGGAAGGTCGTCGCGTTGGAGAAGGAGGCGAAGATGATCGATTACCTTCATGAGTTCGTGAAGGCACGCGTTGCAGACACTCGCAATGCTTGCGAGTTTGCACGGTCCACCGGCGAACGAAACTGGGATCCCAAACGTGACATGTATTGGAAATTGTCGGGGAACAAAAGGACGGGCGTTTGGGACTTCCTGTTCAGACCCGGACCGCCTGGTCCGACGGACCTCGAATACAGTCGACGGAGAAACCTGGTGTTCGCTGTGCTCAATGGGTACCACGGTGCACCCATGGAGTCTGTCTCGCACTTCCTGAGACGGCTGGAGCACGTTTACTTCACGCTGACCGAAAAACTCACTCTCGAAAACTACAAGTCACAGTTTGACGAGGAGGACCCTTTCAACGCTGAAGACATGGAGGAGCTGAGCGACTCCGAAACCTTCGATTTCAAGTCCATGCCACTTCCTCGGGTGGTTGGACAGGTTGGTGATGAAGAGGAAGGTGGCCCTCGGAGATATAGCACGTCCCCTGCCGGTTTGAAGCGTGTGTTTCGGGGCGAACCAGTCGACAACCAATCGTCTGATGACGCGGAGGAAGAGAGAGACTATGATCACGAACCTTGTGACAGGCTCCCTGTGGACCATGACACCTGGCAGAATGACAGACTCTACTTCTTCGGCAAGCATCACCGGTTCATGTCGGAGGATGTCTGGGGACACAACGTCGTCTGGCACCCGAGGATATTCCAACGTGCTGTGAGGAATGGAATATGGGTCATGGCAATAAAGGAGGCCGATGGCAAGTGGAATGGACTGAAGAAACTGGGAGCAGGTGCATTTAAGAGAAAGGCAAGAACTGCTCTGGTGGAGCATTTGAGTCTCATGAACCCCGAGAGGAACGATGAGGACATCGATGCGTATGCAGAACAAAAGCTACATGAGTTGTACGCCAACAACATGTTGGAGTTTCGAGCGCCTTTCTACGCACTCGAAACGGCACCGTCTCGTGGCATTGACTGGCGCATGCCGCAACCTCCGCCGGCCGGTCAGCATCCGGGAGGRGGTGGTGGAGGAGACGAAGGAGACGGCGGAGGTGGCGGAGGAGACGGCTCACAGTTTGCCAGAAAGGGGACGGGCGAGACATCGTCGGTTGAGAAGGCGTCCGGCGGAAAGGGGTCGGGCGGAAAGGGGTCGGGCGGGAAGCGGTCGGGCCGGAAGGGGTCGGGCGAAAAGCGTAGAACGTCCGGGAGTCCCCAGTATATGGAAACTGACCCCCACTGCGTAGGGAGTCGAGTTTCCGACATGCGAGACGAGGCCACCCTGACGTCTGATCAAGTGCAAGTGCAAGTAGATTCCCGTTGCCCAGGAGAGTCCATCCCGCCGTGCACAGCAGAGGTCTCTTGTGCTCAACACCTTGCTCTTGAAAGAGGGCGCGTCTTCGTTTTGCCTGGAGGGAGGGATGCCTGCATTGCGAAGGAGCGAAGGTGCGACCTCCGGTTCCCTCGGCTCGGGCGACCGCCACAAACTCCGAATACATTCGGATTTGCTGACGTCGCCCTCCGCCATAAGTGCTCCTCACGCAACAGTTCCGCGGGGCCAAGAAAATGTGACGTCCTGGCCCCCGCATCTTTAGTTGGACACAGGGTTACCCTGCTCGCCTCCCTTCTCATGTGTTGAGACTCGAGACTGGCGGTCTCGCGACGTGCTGGAGGGGCCAGCTCCAGGAGTGTTGGAGACCGTGGGTAGCGAGAACGAACGTCACACTCCTGGGGAAGACGAGCGCTCTCCGGGAACGCGTGCTTTACATCGGGAAGAGGGAACTCAACGCTGGCAGTCTCCCAAAGTGTTGGAGAGCGGGGGTAGCGAGTGTGAACGTCATGCTTCGGAGGGTGCGTCCGTGGACATTGACAGCGAGAGTGCAGGAGCTCCGGGGGAAATGCATGTTGTACAGCGGGGAGAGGACACTCGACACGGGCCGGCTCGTGAAGACGTGAAGTGGCTCCACGCACGAGCGCTGGTGATCGGGACGTCCGAAGAGGTTCGGTACAGTCGCTCGGCTGTAGCCACGACGCGAGAGGGTGTCGTTAAGGGAGGTCAGTGGACGTCCGTGCAAGCTCCCGTTCTTAGCGACGATCAAGACGAAGAAGAACCCGCGGTGGAAGCTCGGGTTCATAGCGATGAGAAAGGCGAAGAACCCATGGTGGAAGGCTGTGAGGTGACTGCCGACATCCAGACGGATCCACAGCGGAAAGATGGTGATTCTTCACCCACCCGTTGCGGTGAAGAACAGGGTGGTCGAGCGTCTGTCGTGAGCACCGCTCGGGGAATGGTGCTTCGTGAAGCCATAGAGTTGGGTGACGACTCGGCAGTCACCGAGCTGGTTAGCGACTCAGGCGTGGCCGAAATGCAGAACGCCGAATCCTCCGTGGAAGGCGGTGAGGTGGCCGTCAGCATGAAGATGGATCCTGAGCGGAAAGATCATGATTCTCCGTCCACCTGTTGCGGTGCCGAACAGGGTGATCGAGCATCTGTCCTCAGTACCGGTCGGAAAATGGTGCTTCATGAACCCATCAACATGCCAAGCGACTCAGCTGCCACCGAGCTGGTTAGCGACACAGCCGCGGCCGAGGTCCAGAACCTCGAATCGTCCGTGGACGTTGGCGCAGTGGCGCGACAGGAGGGCGAGTTCCCTCAAAGGGCTTCCGAGCACGGTAAGATTTGTGAATAGGACCACTCCCATATCTGTCACTGGCCAGCTCTGTGTTCGTCCAAATTGATGTCATGATCTAATGTACCTGTTACCACTAGTTAAAAAAAAGCTTGTGGGCTGTGGGTTGTTTTCTATGTTCTACAGGTGTGAGGTTGTTAATGTCCCTGCCCATGAAGCCTTTAAAAGTCGTGCGCGAGAAACGTCTTTCAGGGAGGTCATTGGCCGCTTCACCGAAGAAGTCGTCAAGTGTAGGGTTGTTTAAAAGGGTCCAGATGCCTCGCCTTTCCCAGAGAGCTGTCAGGGTTCTGAAAGCTTGTAGAATAGATAAGGAGGAAGGTCTGCGGAAATATTTGGCTGCGTCTATTGAGAGCGTTACTGCTTTGTCTGACGGGTCTGATGACGATGGCAAACGGGGTGTCTTGAAAGACCCGTGTCCGAAGTACATCGCGAAGGACACATTCAACAAGCGGGGATACAACTTTTCTGGGAAAAGGGCAGACAGTTCTTAGCCATTCCACCACGGGGTTTGTGCTCACTCCTCACACTTGTTCGTGGGTGTTTGTGCAGTTGGGGCTACATCATGTTTTCGCGTTCCGTTGCCTACTGAAGAGCCTAGCGCTACGGACGTGAGAATGTTGCGGAACGTCTGTGGAGATTACAGCAACGGCCACGAGGTGGTGTGCTCGGTTCGTAAAGGGATCACTTTAATTCCGTTGAGCAGAAAAAGTCTTCAAACTCTTTTTCAGGGGGAATGACTTTCCGACGAGGTGGTGGAGTCGTACTTGGCCTTGCTTGCCAACGCTGCGTTGCCTGGGGGTCCCTCTCTTCACATTTTCAGTGCATTTTTCTATACCAAGCTCGTCCGTGGCGGCTATCGACATGATAGGGTTGCGGGATGAACAAAAGATGTGGATATTTTCTCGCACGAGATGGTCTTGATTCCTGTCCATAAACATGGAGTGCATTGGACCCTGTTGTGTCTCCGAGAACAACGACTGGAGTACTACGACTCCCTCGTACAAGACGATGGCRGTTTTTYTTCCGATSTGATTGCGAACTTCACGCAATACCTCCRTGAYGAMGCAGTTTGTCATTMTGGTCCAAAAACRAAAGTGGATCTCCARGAGCCCAAGGTGGTYGTTCGTGRTGTCCCTCAACAATCGGACGGGTCGAGCTGCGGTGTTTTCATGCTCGCCTTCGCTTCATTTCTTGCACGCGGCTGTCCGCCACCATTTTCGATAGCCCAAAGCGACATTCCAAACATCCGGCTGAGGATTGCGGTGGACATACTCCAAGGCGCTGAATGATACCACTGTTGTAAAAACACGCGTAGTTTTTTTTTCGAAATGCCATAAGCAGAAGTGCGAATCTATTCCCACTTGATCTAAAAGTCAGCCGGTTCGAGCTGTGTTGTTGTTTTCATGAGGTGTCGGATTGCAGTGGACGTTTTGGTCAAGTACAGGCTTAGGTGTCGATGTGAATATCCCAGCCTCGTGATGTATCAGCTTTTTAAGGGTTTTTCATTTCGTGGAACCTGTCATCTTTACTCGTAGGACTTTCGGCAGCGCCGTGCTTCCTTTGTTTGTTTTCGGGTTATTCTCATTGCTTGCCGCGCAATATCAGCTAGAGGGTAGCAGCGGACGCTTACGTGAAGTAGAAGCTCAGATGCCGATGTAAATATCCCAGCCAAGTGGTGCAGTTCCTTTTAAGTAGACGCTTACATATTGGATGTGAATATCCCAACTTCGTGCTCCTTTTGTTTATTTTCGGGTTGTTCTCCTTATGTTCTCTCAGACCGCGGCAGCACCGTGCTGCGTTTGTTCGTTTCGAGGTTGTGCTCCTCTTTTACTCATGTGAAAGATATCGACGATTTATTCTTGGTCGCCAAATTATTTCGTGCTTATCTCTTTCGTTCGCGAGACTTTGTGGTGTGAAAGCCCCTCTCCCCCGCCCCACCCCGACCAACCAGCTTTCATATGTTTTGGCTCGCCCTTGTTCTGCGTGTGCCGCCCCGTTTTACGGTTCACCCCCTCTGCTTGTCTCGATTGAATGCTGTTTGTTGGTTCCTTATGACAGTTGCGAACTTGTTCTCCATTCGGAAACCAATTGTCGCCAGAATGTATGTGTGCTTGAAGTTGTTTTACGGATTCAACGGTGCACTGAATGATCACCAATTTTGTTATCCCCGGAATACATCTCGTGCTCCCCACGGAATGCTGGCTGTTGTTTTCGTATGAGAAATGCGAACATATTCGCACTTCGGATGCCGTACATTTGTGATTGAACTGTTGGTTCCATATGAGAAATGATAACATATTCGCACTTTGGCTCCATGTACTTTGTGATATTTGGAAAACCTATGTGCACTTTGCAATGTGGGATTGTATAATATTTTGCGTTCAATGACTTTTTGAAACGTCTCTGTGTGCTTTGCAATTTGCCCTCGAATGAATTTTCTGCATTGAATGGTTTCTGGTACCTGTTCGTGTGCTGTGAGACTTCACCTTTCGAAAAACACTAGGCAACTTGAGATGTTTTCACCTCGATGTTTACGATGTCTCTGTTTGCTTTGCAATTTGACTTGTGTTTGAAGTTGTTTAAAGGATTCAGCGGTGCACTAAATGATTGCCGATTTTGTTATCCCCGGAATACATCTCGTGCTTTCCATTGGATGCTGACTGTTGTTTCCGTATGAGAAATGCGAACATATTCGCACTTTGGATGCCGTGCATTTGTAATTGAACTGTTGGTTCCACATGGGAAATGAGAACATATTCGCACTTTGGCTCCATGTACTTTGTGATTTTTGTAAAGCCTCCGTGCACTTTGCAATGTGGGATTGTATGATATTTTGCGTTCAATGATTTTTTGAAACGTCTCTGTGTGCTTTGCAATTTGCCCTTGAATGAATTTTCTGCATTGAATGGTTTATGGAAACTGTTCGTGTGCTGTGAGACTTCACCTTTGGAAAAACAGTAGGCAACTTCAAATGTTTTCACCTCGACGTTTCCGATGTCTCTGTGTGCTTTGCAATTCGACTTGAGATGATTTCATCTCGATGTTTGCGATGACAAGAGATACTTGTATGAATGGATATGAATCTTCTACACAGAAAGATTTGATGGCGTTTTCAACCTGTGATATACAAATGACAAGCCAATGTCCATATTAAATCGTCGCGGTGATGGACTGCGCAATTGCTTCTCCATCAAAGTGCGAGTTCAATCGCACTTCTGGTGTGAGCCCTGAGCAATTCCCTCATACTTTGCTTCACGTCGAGGAGGGGATCGAACGCACTGCCGGTAAGCACCTGCAGATCACGAAACAAGAGCACGTCCCAATTGGAACATCGTCGGGTCCTCACCTCATTGACTCTCAAGATGACTACAGCCAACGGCGGTAGGATGGCAGGTCCGCCTATCCGATGTGGATCTCACGGTGGAGTGCGAAACTCTGCTCTCGAAGATCCAAACCGGGCAGAAGGTTCTGCAAGCAGTCGCTGCTTGCTTGTAAGGCATCTTATGATGTGTCGATATAACCGACATCCAGAACTGCTTGGTGAGCATCTAGTGCTACGCCAATAAGTTCCAAACACGGCAGCAAAGTCCCCTAAGAGTGTTCTTTGTCGGGTCCTCACCACATCGACTCTCTAGATGACTACAGCCAACAACGGTAGGATGGCAGGTCCGCCTACCCAATGTGGATCTCACGGTGGAGTGCAAGACTCTGCTCTCAAAGATCCGCACCGGGTAGAAGGTCCTGCAAGCAGCCGGTGCTTGCTTGTAAGGCATCTTATGATGTGTCGATATGGCAGACATCCTGAACTGCTTAGTGGGCATCTAGTGCTACACCAATATGTTCCAAACACGACACCATGACAGTGTTCTTTGTCGGGTCCTCACCTCGTCAACTCCCTCAAGATGACTACAGCTGACAGCGCTAGGGTGGCAGGTCCACCTATCCGATGTGGATCTCACGGTGGAGTGCGAAACTCTGCTCTCAATGATCCACACCGGGTAGAAGTTCCTGCAAGCAGCCGCTGCTTGCTTGTTAGGCATCTTATGATTTGTCGACATAACCGACATCCAGAACTGCTTGGTGAACATCTTGTGCTACGCCAATAAGTTCCAAAAACACGGCAGCAAAGTCCACTGAGAGTTTTCTTTGCCGGGTCCTCACCTCATCGACTCCCTCAAGATGACTACAGCTAACAGTGGTAGGATGGCAGGTCCACCTATCCGACGTGGATCTCACGGTGGAGTGCGAAACTCCGCTCTCAAAGATCCATACCGGGTAGAAGGTCCTGCAAGCAGCCGCTGCTTGCTTGTAAGGCATCTTATGATGTGTCGATATAACCGACATCCAGAACTGCTTGGTGAGCATCTAGTGCTACGCCAATATGTTCTAAACACGACCGCAAGGTCCCCTAAGAATGCTTTTGGCACTGGAGTCCTTTGACCGCCGACTGTTTGGCACTTCGTGAAGGTTGACACTTCTTGAAGGTGGTCTACCACTTCTTAAAGGTGGTCAGTCACCAAACAGATCACG